ACTCTTCCCCAGATTACATTTAGGAGGTTGGTGCACATGTTTTGACTGGAGAGATTAACATAGAGATGAACAACGTGTCTGCTCGGAAGGAGTTCCTAAGAGGCTCTGCTTCACTTGATTCAATGCGCAACAGCCCAGTTAAACACTGCCCACTGAAAAACAGCAGTGGGAAAACTTGGGACCTGACAATATTAACCAGTTTGGCAAAAGGGGTAACCACTGTCAACTCACAATTAATCATTTTTTAGACCAATAGTATTTTATAGTTAGCCACAATTGGATAAAAATACATTAAAGAAACCTTAACTAAGGCTGGTAATTTCATCTTGATACATAATATGGTGTTTAAGACCCACATTTTTAGATTGCCTGGAATATTTAACTTTCTCACTATCTTCTGTTTTGCCCCAACATGTTATTTGGTTGTTTTAAAGTCCTGTGTCTGAATGGCAAACTTCTGATGAACTGCATCATTTTGCATGAGACACAAGAATGAGTTTGAATATAGCCAGAGAGCCTGCACAGCACTGTGGTCTGAACACAGCTAAATTGCTTCAGTCCATAGTTCCCACAGCTAAGGGCAAAGACAGCCTGTTACAGTTGTTGTTCATCCAAAATAAGTGTTTGCAATACCCAAATGCCTGTCGTGGGCTCCAACTAGGCTTAATCTGTGGTTTGATTTGTCTTTTGCTTCTCCACATCAGCATGTTAACCTAAGCAAGTGTCTCTTCACCATACAAAATTTTGCCATATTTTAAGATCTTTGTGCCATGCTGTCTTGCTTGGCGCTGACACACTCTGATTTCAGGCATGATCCTGAGTATTACTGGGGCTTTCCTTGCCTGAGTTGGTTGCACAACAATATAAGCACTGCTCCTAAACTGACTGAAGTCCATACACAATCTCTAGATCAAATTAACTGGTACTTTCAGGCTCAAGTTATACAGCCTGTCGGAGAGTGGAGGGATGTGGGCTGAAGTTCAAGTTCTGCTGAAACTTGCATTAACTTATAGTAACTATAATAGCTGCTAAATCCAACCATTTTGCTAATCCAGACACTCTGAGCTGCTAAATCAAGGAATTTTCTCTGTCCTTGTGTTGATTCATAGATCTGCTCTACAAAGTTCTTTAGACAGAAGTCACTTTTAGCACATGAAAGGTTTGTGCATACCTAGCTGTACTTTTCTACTAGTAGGAATAACTGTAGAATAAATCAGACTGGGAGGTGCTCAGATACCAGCAAAATTGGACAGCATATTTGAAAGGAGGAAGCTAGAGTTAGAAGTAGTACAGGTTTGTTTCTGCCTTTGCACAGACCTCCTCAGTGCTTCCTCTCTGCTTCCTCACACTGGTGGGAACAAGACTTAATTCACTAGCACTAGTAAACCATCTTGAGACCCAGTGTTACAGAAGTGCAAAGTATTTTAATTATTTATTTATTAACTTCTCAGTTTGCAGAACCTTTTAAAGTGAAATTTGCACCTTGAGATTAAACTGCTTGGCCACTGAGACTCCTTTAAGTAATGCAAGAGACAGGTCTCATGAGAATCAAAATATGGCAATGGGAGGTGCTCTTATTCCCACGTAGACAGATCCTGGAGACAGAAAGGCCCAAATGAATGGACGGGAATGTCAGATGTTTGTCTAAAGAAATGTAACTATTGAGGTTTTTGCATGGATTTGGTATTTTGATAATTTACTTATAGCTACAATTTCTCTTTTCAGAAAATTATAAATGGAAATTGACAATGGCTCTTGTCAGATGGATGACAGAGGAGATGGGTAATATGCTGACAGCTGGGAATCCCATTAAGAGAGGAGTTAATGATCTTAAACTCTTGGATGATTTACAGAGTGAGTAACACATGCACAGCAAAAAGAGGCTGGCTGCTACAAATGTCAGTTGATACCACAAATTAAATTCCCTGTGGAAGTTTTTACCCCACTTTTGCTGAAGATAAGGTCAAGGAAAGTAAGTGTTCAAAAAGAAAAGTCAGGAGAGAGGTGTTGCACCTTGGTGACACTAGTCTCTGCTCCATGCTTCCAAAACAGAGTGCAGATTTTTTGCTACATGACTCTCATTAAAAGTCAATGAAGTTCCGCAGCTCAAATGTCACCCACACTACTTTGGAAACAGATATGTATACTCTAGCACTGTCTAAATATCCCTTTCTGAAATATCACCAAGACACAGAGAAAGAACTCTTCACAGCAGGCCTCTGCTGCAATAAACACAGCATCTTCCCCACTCCTGCTAGCTGCCTGCAGTTCTGCCCAAGAAGCAGGAGAGGAGGCTGGAAAAGCAGTCAGTTGCCTCAACAGCATAAGCAGCATAGACAGTCAGAGAACTTGTCCCACCACTGCCTAAGTCTTAAGCCATCTGAGGAAGAGCCATGCTGCTCTGACACTGCCATTCCCCAAAAGAGCAGAGCCTAGAACTTCTGAAATACAGTCAGGGAGCTCTGGGTGCTTATTTATTTTAATGACAGATTTATGATGTGTAAACTCTGACAGCATTTGACAACATTTTGAAAGGCAGCTGAGAGACAGACCAGATGGCAAACCTTGGCTATGACTGTCCTCCATAAAGCTCACATATATTGTTGTCCAGATTTACTATCTTATGTATTGCAACTTGTGCACTAATAGCGCCAGGAAATGAGGTTTTGCCACTTGCAGAAAACTATTCCTTGCAAAGAGTTTCTTAAACTAATTCATAAAACACATCTACTTTCTAGCTAAGGACTTGTTAATCCTTCAGACTAACCAGCAGTGGAGAACAGAAAAGCTGGTATTTTTCACAGCCTCTGTTATCTTCACCATTATCCTCTGACTTTTCTTTTTGGGGTGGGGGCGGTGAAAAGTTGCAAAGGTATTCCATATCATAAGCTGGGGCGGGCAGGGGGGGGAGTTATCTCTGTTCTTTAAAAAATTAAGACAGAAATGGGAACTGCATCCTCTGGGCACAGAATTTTCCTTTTATTTCTCTCCTCTTTCATAGCTGCAAAGGTTGAGGTTGTGCCACTTACAGAACATCTACACACAGAACACAACTCATTTTACAAAGGAAGTAACAGAGCACTCCAAGACTTCTACATCCAGCTGTAGTGTCCTCCTGAACAGCATATAGAAAGGAAGGACAAGCCATCTAGATCCAATCTACTCAGAAATGCCAGTTTGAATGTTTGAATATGCAATGGAGTAAAAGGATTTCCAACTTAAATATTTCAATCTCAGATGCAGCTTTAAATAGCTTAAGGCTAAAAGAGTTCTAAACATGATAGAACCTAAATATAAGAACTAAATCACTTAAGAAGTAAGACATACCATGCTTACACATTTGTATATTCGCTAATTGTGCTTAATCCCCAAAAAACCAACCAACCAACAAAAAAAAAACCTACGAGGACAGAACTCAGCAAAAAGAACATTACACAGGAAGATGCAAAGAGGTGGCAGGAGGGTGTAAACACAATTTTAATATTTCCTAGAAAAAAGGATGTTATTCTGCTTAACTGATCTTTTTTAAAAAAGAAGTCTGTCATCCTTCCCCATGTCCTCCCTTGCCACACAAAAATGATTGTTTGTATACTTAAAATTGACAACTGAACACATGTTTTGCAGCTGAAATTTACAAGTCTCTATATTCTAAAAATTCCTTCCTCCTATCTTTATGCTCTTGAGGACACTCAGACATGGCTTAACATGGATTTTGCGCAATGAATGTTAACATTGTGCATTGACTGGTGCAAATCATTGCTTGTCAGGCTGTCTCACTTTGCACTACAAACCAGTGCATGCATAAAATACGGTTTCAGAGACACATCCGTTGGTTACTTACTGAACATCTCAGGATTACAGAGATAACAAAGACAACATATTTCTTTGCTTATCAGTTCAAAAAGCTGTGTTAATAAACAGTTCAGCTCCAAAATGTGCTTTTTTTTAAAAAAAA